TTTTTCCTCTGTTCAGACTGTATAATCTCTATTGAATCTAGCTTGAAATTCACTGCTTCTTTCTTCTGCCAGCTCAAATCTACCGTTCAGCCCCTGTAGTGAAATTTTCATTTTGGCTATTGTACTTTTCAACTCCAGAATTTCCATTTGGTTCTTTTTCTTTCTTTCTTTCTTAATAGTTTCTATCTCTTTACTGGCATATTCGACTGAAACAATGTCATGATACTTTCCTTTAATTTTCTAGACATGAGTTCATTCAGTTCCTTGAGTATATCTGTAATAGCTACTTTCAACTATCTGTCTGCAAAGTCCACCATCTGGGCCCCTTCAGTTGTCTGTATATGTATGGGTCACACTTCATATCCTTTTTTTGCTGCAATACAGGTATTTTAGATATATTGTAGCAACTTGGAGACAGATACCACTCCCTCCCAGGTTGATGTTGTTTGCTATGTTTTATAGTGACTGTGCTACACTAACCCTGTGAAGTCTATCTCACCCACAGTGCTTTCCCCTTTTTATCTTTTAGCCTGGCTACCTCTAGGTTGTTCCTGGGTCAACATAATCCCCTTATGGGTCAATGGTTGTGCTTAAGTCCCCCTGGCTAGTCAGATTTTTACCCTTTATCATTGGATGTGTGTGTGGTCTGGAAGATACCGTCACAGTTCAAGGAGTCTACGTTTTTGTTCCACGTTCAATCAGGGACTAGTAGCTCAGATGTTCTCTTTCCAATCATTCCTGAGAGGGTGCAATCTTGGGCACGGCATATAGTCTTCCAGACTGCTAAGGATATTTGCAATTTTATTTTCAAGCCTGGCTTCCTAGTAATTGCCCCGGGTCACGGTAGCTTATTGTTCTTCCAGCGTTTGGTCAGAAGTTGAATTTAAGTCCCTGTGCATTAGAGCCTTTGTTGATGTATCTGTGTGGACTGGGGAATGTATACAACTTGTCCCACATCCTGCTGAGTGCTTCTGAGTGGGTGCAGCCGAATGCATGTGCACAGCATTCCTGACCTCCCAGGGCTGACTGACCCCAGGAGGGCTCAGCTTGGTTGTTTCTTTATCTACATCTCTCTGTTAAACTCCTGGTCGCTCTGCTGTTTTTGCTTGTTGATATGAATACATGGAGCTACAAGTACCCTCTTAATTGCTCTTCACCAAAATTTCCACTGGTTTTGATAATACCCTTAGGAATAACATGTGCTGGTCCAAATAAACTTAGTCCCTTCAAGCCTAACTGCTAAGCTCTTCGTCCTCACAGCTCATCTCTCCCTCTGGGCAGAACTTCTGTGCCACTGCACAGGAGCTGGTGGCAACACAACAAGCAGCTTCTCCCAGAGTGATATCCCTGGCTCTATGATGGTGCTGGTCATGGCCCCTGATTTTCTCAGTGTGCCCGTCCTGGAATGGAACTTCCACCTTATGAGCAAGCTGCAGTGGGGGTAACCAGGACTCCAGTATTCTCAGCCTGCCATACCTGGAGTAAAGCTTCCGCCCTGTGAGTAGACACTGAGTAGGATAAGGGACTCTTAGTCCTTCTGTCATGATTGTCTAGAATAGAGCTTCTGCAATACAGGATTAGAGAAGATAAGAAATACCAATAGCTTCCCCTTCCTGTGGTGGAACCCGCAGCTGTGGGAACGGAACAAGTTGTGGCTCAAATGCTACAGACTCTTGCTGTTCTTTCTGAGATTTAGCAGATTTTCTTGAATAAATGTTTCTCCGTTTGCTGTATCCTCGTAGGACAATTCTCAGATACTTCAAATTATCTCTAGTTAAATGGCTGTTAAGGAGAAGGTCCACTGAGCATCTTCTTCCCACCATTCCAGAAGTTAAATCCCTCATCCCTTGGTTTTTTTTTTTTTATCATCATATGTTCTATATTTATTAGTTGGTATTTTCCTTTCTTTCAGTATAGACTGAAGGGTTTGTATTTCATTTAATGGTTTGTTATTTTCATTATTTCTTTTGACCTAGTTTTGGGCAGTGAGAGGCAACTCTGTGTTTCTTTGACATGTCAACATGATTCTTTAAGCACTTTCTTACTTTCCAGAATAAGATGGTCAAGGACCATCTTGTACTTTCCCTACACCAAGCCTGGAAATAGCCATTACTCCAGAGAGCTATAAATGGTTCATAAAATAGACACTAGTTTAATTTTTTTTAAATCACAAAGAACCCATATAGACTTAACAGTATTTCATGGCTGACGTGTAAGAATGAGGCAGAGCTACTGAGAAAACGTAGCCTAGGATCTGCATCCTACCTAACACAGAGCACAGTTGGTGAACGACAACTCATGAAGAAATTTTTTATGGGGGAAAATGTTCTTAAAAACTGGTAAGAGACTGAAAAGAGGTCATTGAAAGTGGTAGTCCTTAGAAAACAATGCAAAAATGTGATCTACAATGAAGACAAGTCCTCCAACTCTATCCGGAAACCAGGAAAACTGGTAAATAAAACTTTCAATAAGCGTTCAAGTCAGTATAATGACTATCCTACCAATGAGGCAAAACTTGAGTGAAAACTGAAAGGTGGTTTTATACTTTGTTGTATACACATAAAAAACTTTTAAGGAAGGATTTGTTAAGTACCAGTGCCTGAAGGCACTAGTAGTAAAAACACATGAATAAATATTGTAGAGAATATTAAGTAATAAGTTCATTACTTTAACTGAATATCATTAAAACAGGAGGTAGAATCACGTGACCATATGACTGAGGAAATTTTTTCCCAAAGCTGAGGATGCCAGTGGAGACGAAATATGGGCAGGACAAACACTTAATATTGCTGAAACAGTTATCAGAAATTGAGATTATCAGTGAAGCGTGGAGGCCTGAGTTACTCTGCTAAACAATGTGTCTCATACCTAATGGGATCCGTACAACACCTTTATTATAGAGAGGCAAAAACAGTAATTTACTTTAGAATCACAAATTCGGAAATTGGTGGTTGATGTTACCACAGAAGTGATTCAATGCTGTGAAAAGTTTAACAGGAGAATATTTTACTAATTTTAAAAATTACTTTTCCCTCCATATTTAAGTATCTACAGACTGATCAGTATTAATCAGAAGAGTACTGTAACAGAGGAGGAAAAGTTATCAAAGTTAGGAAAAACAGAAGGTATGGTGTCAATGAATTCAAGGGAACATATGAATAGGAACAAAAATTCAAGAGTTTACTAGGTGTCAGGTATTGTTTTAGCATAAATAACTTGTCCAAGGTCATACAGCTAATCTGTTTGGGACATGTTTCAAATCTAGGCAATCTGACCATACAGATTCACATCTCTTACTTCGTGGAGATACAGACAACACAAGGAGGTGAAACTGAAGACTAAAAACGTTCCTGGGACCATGAAATTGAGATGAGGCAATGACTCATGTAGAATTTGACTAAAATAGGGCAGAAAACCCTAGTGAAGCTAAAATGCACATGCACCATCTCCTGACTGCCCTGACAGCAGGGTTCTCAACCTCTGATGATAAAATTAAAGGAAACACCACATACAAATGAAGTAAATAAAAATTAGCATTGCAGCACATATGATTTATATGGCTCCACTTTGGGGGGCGGCATTCATTGGCATCTGTGAGGGCTTTGTACCAGAAAGAAGAGATCATAACAAAGAATCCGAGTTATGTTCAACTGAGCCTAGACTCTTGCACGGTTGGATATACTACATGCAAACCTCTTGTGCCACTCTCTGATTTCGGTTGCATTTGGTACAGAATATAATTCACATGTTCACATGCTTATATTGCGCTGATTGTTCTACCATGCTGCTTAGAAAAAACTTAGGACTGAAATGATAAAAGATCACTGCCTGGTGCCTATTAGCTGCCTGATACTTAGATTGCTAATCCAGCTCTACAATCTATTGCCTAGGAGGACTCAGCTAGCCCAGAGGGGGTAAATGGATGAACAAGTCAACAAAATCACCAGAGGTATATGAAGAGTTGCTTAATTTTTCAATTATACTTATCTGAATTTTATATGGGAATGTACATACTATAAGTGTTAAGCATAAATCTCAGGATTTATAAGTACCTTGGGGTTTTATTCAATAATGCCAAGAGTCTACTCTTCAAATAATGAGTATTAGAAATATCCTCATTTTTAATATATACTGTTGGCTTCTGCAGATTCTATAACATGTTAAATGAGTGTTACGTTCAGTAACCATTATACTCAAGTCTATCGTTAACATTGGTAATACAAAGTTTTCTTTCTATGGCTATGGGAACAAACGAGCCCTACAAGATAGTTTTTGGGGTTTTTCTTGGGCCTGTGAATTTGGTCTAAGCCAGAGGAGTATGTACTAAGAACCCATCTGTACTCTAGCACAGGCAGACTCAGACACAACTGTCACAGGGTAAAAGCATTCAAATAGAGCTCCACATACCACAGGCACTTAAAAACTGGATGTTGAAACCACAGGAAACTACCCTAATACATCTAAACAAATTCACACTTTGAAAACCAATGTAAACATGTGGATTCTTGTAGCCTCGCATCTCTATTCTTGTGAATTTTTAATGAAGTCTGAAGCACTTATATGAAACATAGACTTAGGATTATAAAAGAACTATAATATATCCAAGAACAGACAAACAAAACAAGCGTTCTTGAAAAGATAAAGGTGGCGGGTAGTAAGGAAATAAAGGTTGAAAACAAGTCAAGTACATACCTAAGAAGGTAACAACCAATTGTAGTACAGGCAGGCAGAGCTCCCAGGCAGGGAAGAAAAAGAAATCAATTGAACAAGGAGAGTGGGGAAGGCCTTGGAATGCTGGCCCGGAATTTAGGGTGTGTAAGAGTTGAGAGTAAAAGTGGATCATAAACTCCCAAAGAAACACAACTTATAAATTCAATATCTTGTATCTTTTAAAAATGCATTTGTTGTCATTTCTAAGGTAATGAATGCAAAAAAAAAAAAATGCTAGTAAGAGAAGTTGCTGTTATTTTCCATAGTTCATGTTAGCTTACAATACATACCTCTAGCATACAGTCTCATGCTTTCCATATAAGTTGCAAGGTTTTCTGCTACCAAAGTAACTAGAGCATGATTGTGCTGAAGTTGATTGATTAAGTCATGGCGATAAAATACATGGGGACTTCGCTGAGTTTGACTGAAACGAGAAGAACTTAACAATATAATTAGGCAATTAAACTCTGTTGTAATCAAAAGAGCTTATACAATCTAAATTCTTAGCTACTAATTTAAAAACTTAAAATGGTTTCCTTTATAATAGAATTCCACTTTTGGCCATTTACTTTCTTTAATGACAATATCAAGCAATTTAAAAGAAAATAATCAACACCTCCAAAAATAAGACAATTATTCCATTATTCTTATTTTACATGAAAACTATGAATTAATATTCTCCAATTTCACGCCATGGGAGTCTACATCAATAACTGATTTTTACTCCTATACTATAATAGTACCACAGCATTTGTATAAGTTTACATGATTATTTCCAGAATTATAAAATAGAAACATCCCTTGCAAGATTAGCACCACAAAGATTATGCTTTAATTGTAGTGAAGAATTTAATCAAAGAAAATGCTTTCAGTAAGGATTTATTAGCCATTCAAGGTACATTTTGGGACACTTGGTTTATAGCCAAATTTACCCACATGTATCACCAGAAAGATAGCCAGTTCCTTTCCAACCTATTTTGCCACCTTCAGTGAAATCAATAAACTCTTATAGCCATTACTATTCTAATGGAGATGAAGCCACTGTTCCTTAGAAAGAGTATGTAAACTACTATGTCTATCTGCAACAGACAAATGAATTCATTTGAGAAAGGCCAAAAGGCATTATGTACAGTGGGCCAAACATAATCAAAATATGTCCCTGAAATAAATGTTACTGTTAATAAGATACATGTCTGAATTTTCTCCACTGTTTACCCCTCCAGCTTTTCTAATTTCATATTATTTTTCCAGCTTTGGGAAAAAATGACACAAAGTTCACCTGTTAAAAACAAAACATATATGAAGTTTTCTACTTCTGCCTTAGGCATAATCATAATAATCTAGAGCTGTAAAGGATCCTGGTAATCATTTAATTTTATACATGGAAAAATAAATTCTTTTGATTAGAGAATTTTTACAAGATGATATGAATGGTTAGATACAAAGGTCATAGCCAGGAATCCTGACTCTACCGTGAATATTCTTTGCACTACTCCTAGCTCTCTCTTCATTATTTTTCCTTTTCATGTTATCAGTTTCAACTCTTATACCCAGAAAATACAAGGACAAATTATTCCAGCAACCAGAATTTGGCACATAAGATAATGTATTTAAAGACAGCTATTTAACAGAAATTTAGCTAAAATAAATCAGAAAAATACATTTTTAAACTATATTTGGTCATCTTTCATCATTTAAACATACAGCCTAATCTTTGAAATTAAATTTAAAAATTAACTAAGAAAAAAATAATAAATAGGTTTATTTTACTTTGAAAACCTAGTATGATGTTTTGCAGTTAATAAAACGTTAAATATTTCAGAGTGAACCAATTAAGGAAACAACAAGGTCTATAAGAAATATATAATATGGGATATAAAGGATGGACACTGGGCAGAGACACAAAGCAGGAACGATAAAATGAAATGAGGAATGAGATTAATAGATATAACACATGCCATGAAATTGTCTGGTATACTTGCTGGAAATAAGAGATTCTGAACCAAGAACCCAAATGGTAGTATTATCATCTTGATTCTGACACTTATCACTTAGTTGTGGATTACTTCCTCATTAATAAAATCAGAGGTGTATATGATAAAGGAATCTTCTTTTGTCCAAATTAACTCTTCTCTTAGCCTCCTGTTACCCCACTCTAATTTTCTTTTTTAAAATCTGTTTTTAGCAACTGATAATGCTGTTTCTTTTCAATAAAATACACCAATAAAAACATTAAAATATTCTATTAAAAGGCTTACCTCAAATTTTGAGGTGCTTCACCAAACAAACTACAAATTTCTCTGATTTGTTTCAGTGCAGGAATAACCCATTTGTCATTTGTACGAAGTTCTTCTATAAAACGATCTATCCACTGGATCTTCTGTGTGTCACGGTCCTTAAAGAAACAATTTCAATGTTTTAAATAGGTCAATACTCAAGAGAATTCCACCTTCAAATTATTTTGAGAATTACAAAATAGAGCTTTTCTTGTAAGGCTTGCATCACAAACATTTTTCTGTAATTGCAGTAAAGAGTTTAATAGTAGTTAAAAAAAAAAAAAAAAAAAAAAGCTGCTTTAAATACATTTTTATTTCACATTTACTACCAAAACTCTGAAAAGTAAAACACGGTTATAAAAGCTCAATATGACATGGACTCAGATATAAAGGTATAGATCCTATTAGGCACACTGACAGAAAGTTTGATTTTAAAAGTTTGCCAGAAAGTGGGCATTTAGCTTTTATCCAATGTTTTAAGAGATTCTATCATAAAATAAAATTCTGCAATAACATATAACCTCAATTGTTACTCTTTATAGGTTTGTTTGTAGCACAGTGAGGAACACTGAAAATTTATATTTGACCAAGAAAATAACGGTACGGCAAATAAATTTTTAAAAATTCGCCAAAAATCAAAATAAGGACATATCCACGTACATAGAAGGATAGAAAGGAATAGAAACAGTAGAAGCAGTTAAAATTTAATGTTATAAACTCAAAATTATTTCAAATATGACATTTTACTTCTTCGGACCTTATTTACTTTACTCCTTCCCCTAAGTCAATAGTAATCAGAAATGCGGGTTTGTGTACCCCAAAATTTTAATGTCAGAATTATTTGTGTATATGTGCCTCCATTTAATGAAATAATTCAAACTCAATGTTCTTAGTACTATTTGATATATTGAATAAATAGTTAATGAACTGTCACAACAAGCAAGTATAGTCAAAAACTGAGTAGCATCAGAATCACATACACCTACTTGAGCTTATTTTCTTAGCTCTTACCTAATTTCAGTTCATTGATGTAGCCAACAGTTTTAACAAGTGGGACATTAGTTATTCAGCAACGTGCATTTTATCATGAGTCAAGAGATACACATGCTACAAGTTAGAATGCAGGGAAGGTGTTGTGTGATTTGCTCATAGAGAAGGCAATAATGTCTTGCTGTTTAGCAAATTCTATTAATTTTTCTTATCTTCCCTATGAGCAAAGAAAACCTAATTTCTCTTACCTCTAAAGTCCCTAATCAGCTTTAATATCTTACGATCTATTTGAAACTGGTATTTCAGCACCATATATTTGACAATACTACCACTATATAACCTGTTTTATTTATATTGTCTTTCTCCCAAGGAAACTAAAATGCTTTTCAGATACACAAAACTTTGACATAGAGACCTAGGAAAAGGAAGGCAGACTTACATGAAGAAAGTAAGTCAATTTTGAAGTCATCTCAAAAATAACAATGTCAGAAAAACCTGGAACTATTCTGTATCTAAGCTATCCTAACTGTGAAGGAGAAAGGTCGAAAAAAGTGAGCAAAGCAGCACACCCTTACCTGGGAGCAACTATAATCTAATATTTTTATGTGGGCACTGAGAGCCAGGTCCATGATGTCTACAGGCACATCATCACTGTGGGCCAGATTCCACAGGAGGTTCAACACTTTGTGTGCCATCACACCATCCTTATCATCTTCTGCAAGACGACGTATCAGCTCAAGTAGCTTTTCACGTTGCTTTTTACTTGCATTTGTCCAACTGGCCTAGAAAAACATTTTAAAATGACATGAAAACATATTTATTTCTCACTGCTTAAATTAAGTGTCACCGGATTGGAAAAAAACATAGCTGAGCACAGAATTATTCAAATGATATCTGAGAGATAAGCCAGAAAAACTCCAGGAAAAAAGAATCTCTATTTACAGTTAAATACCTTTGGTTCAGGGTTTCTCAACCTTGGTACTACTGACATTTTGGGCTGGAAAATTCTTTGTTGTGGGCGTCTGTCTCATGCATTATAGGATGTTTAGCAGCATGCCTGGCCTCTACCCACTGGAAGCCAGTAGTAGCTCCTCCTCCCAGCTATGACAACCAAAAAACATCTCCAGATATTGTGAAATATTGGGGGGGCGGGGGGGCACTGGGCAGCAGCGGCGGCACAGAATCGCCCTGTTGAAAACCACTGCCTTAGATTCAGTCTGTTATTTGTGACTTTAAAATTATCTTAAAAGATGACAAAGACAACTTGATATACAAAGATTCATAATAAATGAAAAAGCCAATTATAGAGCAATGTGTATTACACATTTGAAAACAAAATAGTCTGTGACAAAGTCCGTTATTAACCAAGAAAAATAATTTCGAACTTATACAGAAATGATATAATGCTATTTCAAGTTAGAAGATGAAATACTCATTTAAAAACTCTAAAATGGAACAAAAAACCTCTCTAAAAATGGTGTTTTAAAAAAGCCCAGTTTATACAAGGCCAGGGGTGGGGGGATTTGCCAGTGGCATCTAGTGGGTAGAGGTCAGGAACGTTGCTCAACAGTATGAGAAAAGCTGCATGTTTAAAGTTGCTAATCAGTGTTTACTGGAAAATAAACTGAAATCGTCATAATGGCAAACAGTAGAAGGATGATTAAGAAAATTATAGAAGATCATTTCAATGGAATTATCATACAGACAACTACAATATGATAAATGCAGGATGTCTCGGAAGATGACTTGAGTGCATACTTCTAATTCCTCCTAGCCTCTCAAAACTATGAAAGGAATATGAAAACTGCTAAGGATATAAGACTGAAATATCAGATTATAATTAAGAATATCTTAAAAAGAGAGAGAACCAGGCATTACGTGCCTCCTGAAGGAAGAGGACATCACCACCTATGATGTATTCTAGCAAAAGGGGGGGTGGGGGGTGGGGGTGTGTGTATGTATGTGTGCAATCAAGCCTCTACATTCTACTATTGATATACAATAAAGCAACAATCAATCCAGTTTCTTTAACAAATAAATTGCAAGGAAAGAAAAAGATAAAGGGTGAAACTACAGATTCAAAGAGACTTGAAACACATATGCAACCAATTACAAAGTATGAATCCTGATTCAAACTTCAAAAATAAAGTACGATCTGAGACAATTAGAAGTTTTAACATTATTTGATGATATTAAGGAATTATTCATTTTTTAGGTATGATAATGATACTGTGAAATTTTTTCTTCATCTACTCATCTCTAAGGGATATATACTAAAATGACTACATATAAAAAGGAGAAATCAATTAAGAACATCTGTTCATCAAAAACCACCATAAGGAGAGTATAAAAGACAACCACAAACTGGGAGAAATTATTTGCAACACCTGAACTGATGAGAACTAGCATTCAGAATATGTCAAGAACTCCTATGAATCAATAAGAAAAATACAAACAACCCAATAGGGAAAAATTAGGCAAAAGACTTGAATAAGGGTTTTCACAAAAACATAGAAGAATACAAACATGAAAAGATGTTCAACCTCATTAATGATCAAGGATATAAAAACCAATACCTCAATGATGTAACATTTCACACCAAGCAGATTGTCAAAAATCCAGAATTCTGACAAAAACAAGTATTGACAAGGATGTGAAACTCTTGATGGGACCGTGAATTCAAACATTTAAAAACTAAACTAGGCACATACATAAGTAAAGTCTAATCAACGAGCTTGAAATCATTTGGTTGCAGTCTATAAACAACTGCAAAGTGACCTGGACTTCAAGTTTCCTTTGAGTCATCTTTAGTAAAAAGAATTTAAGACACACTCCATAAGAATTGCCAGATTTACCAAAACTTCAAAAAATAGTGCTTGTTACCAAATAACAAGTGCTCAATAAACATCGGTTAAGCTAAAGGGGAAAAAAATAGATAATGGATTTTTATATTTAGACTATTATTGCATTTAGACCATCCTTAGAAGAGGCATGTCCAGGTAATCTAATAACAATCGACCTCTTCTTTCTTTCTCCCATCACGGCAATCACTGGTCACGTACCACCATTTTAGAAGTCATCTCAAGATTAAAAATGAATGGCAATTAACTTCAGTGTACCCATGATAACTGATTCTATTATTTTCTCAGTTGCCTTTGATGTACTTGAAACTGAATTTTTCCATAAGGCAGTGAGTTACAACTTTAATGTGATGAAGATTCATCTGAGAATCTTTCTTAAAATACTGATCCCCAGGACCTATACCTAGCAATTTAGATTTAATTGGTCTGGGGTGGAAATCAGTAATTGGTATTATTGTTTTCTTCTACTGTGAAATACACACCAAGAAAGGTACCAACATATACCATTATTACACAGTACATAATGTAAACACCTGTGTAACTATTACTCAGGTAAAAAATAACACATGGTAAGCAGCACTCCAGAAGCCAGCTGGGTCTATTACTGAAGTCTATGTTAATGCAATCAGGGTATATGAATTCTTGTGTGACTTTATTCCTTTCTTCAACCTTCTTTTTAGACTCATCTATATGGTTGAGTTGCTCAAATTTGCATTCTCATTGTTGTGAAATGTTTCATTATATGAACATTCCACAATTTATTAATCCATTCTACATAGCAATTTTTTGCTATTAACAAATAATTCGGCTACAAACGTTGTTGAACATGTATGCTGCTGCACATATGCATGAGTTGCATGAGTTTCTCTAGAGTATATATTCAGCAGTCAAAGTGATGAGTCAGAGAATCTTACACTTTTCCAGAAATACCAAACTATTTTCCAAACAAGTTGTAGCAACTTATGTTCCCACCAGCAGTCAGTATAACTGTTCTTTTTAACAAGATAATGCCAGTTGTTAATGGAACATCCTATAAGGTCCTATGTTCTTGATCCACAAATTCACCAATCATTTGGCTTTTACAAACCCAACACTAGCAACAGGAGAGAGACCACTACATAACATGGCTTTAAAAAGTGCATGATGGAACCAATGCAGGTATAACTACAGCGGCTCTTGGGCTACCTTATGAACTACATTTCCTTCAAGTCCATGAGTTACATTTCCAATTTGCCTGTGCATATCACCCCAGAATACCAAGGCACTGGTAATCCCTTGCTGTCTCCTCTTTATTTTTCATTGTAACCAATCGTCCTTCCCTGCAGTCCTACAGTTCACTTGAATCTATAATAAAAATACAAACTGCTGGAGGAAAGGAATCCAAATTGACAACCGGAGTTAAAAAAAAAAAAAATTCCTTATTTATGAGGGCTATTATTATAAAAGTGAACAACAAGCTCTCATTGGAAAAGAAAACAATGGCCAATTCCTTCACACTAGAAATAGTTTAATGATTTCTATTTAAGTATTTCTTGGCTAAGAGCAACTCACAGATCTAATGAATTAATTCTATTAAAAATGAAATGGTAATAACTTTACTCTGTTAACTATTACCTTAAAGCAATCAAAAAGATGATCAAGTTGTTCAGGAGAAAAATCCCACGCCAACTTTGCCAGTAGATCATGTACATTCTTCACAATGGCTTCATGCTTCCCCGCCTATTGAAAAACCAAAGAAAATCATAGCACACTAGAATTTGAACAGCAGGTAAGTAGTGTCTACTGCCTGAGGACAAATATTAAATTAATTATTTCTATCTCCTTCATCTAACCGTGTAACTTAAGAAAAGTCTTAATATTTTAAATGCTTTAGAACTGCCGTCTAAAACCTGACAACTCAATTTCTTGATAAACATGGTTAATGCATATTTTGGGAATTCATGTGAACCTTTATTAGTTTATTGAATTTAACGTGCCAATTTTAACACTGCAAGGAGGAGAAAAATAAGGCACACCAATGGTATTGTTTCAAAACTGGAACTTTAAACACTCAAAGGCAAAACTGAATGTTTCCTTGGTTTCTATAGACTGAAAAAACAAAGCTTTGTAATCTAGAACTCAACAATACTTCCCAAGTGATCCATGAGTAGACACTTGTCATTAAGAAAATCAAAGGAATTATACAGTTTCTAGCTCTGAAACCAAAAAGGTTACTTATCCTTCTAAAAAGCTATAAATCCTTTAGATTACTACAAGTCTTTATAAGTAATCCAGTGATTTAATAACTCTACTGACACTGAAGTTTTCTTTGTACTGTTTATGAAGAAACCAATTATAGATGTCCCATACTCTTTCAGTAGATATTCCTTACTATTTTACTCTCAACCTCTTATTTAAATCCACCTACAAATCGCCAACTTTCACCAAAAACATCCAGTAGATGGAATTTTGTGTGTGTGTGTGTGTCTGTGTGTGTGAGGAAGATCGGCCCTGAGCTAACATCTGCCAAGCCTCCTCTTTTTGCTGAGGAAGACTGGCCCTGGGCTAACATCCATGCCCATCTTCCTCTACTTTATATGGGACGCCGCCACAGCATGGCTTGACAAGCGGTACATTGGTGCACTCCCGGGATCTGAACGGGCGAACCCTGGGCCACCACAGCGGAGCGTGCGCACTTAACTGCTTGCACCACCGGCCAGCCCTGGAATAAAATATTAGTGGCTATTTCAAAAAGATTCTTGACAAGATTTCTGTAAACAACAAGCATTTAAACATACAAAAAGTCAAACAACATAAGTCTTCATCCCATTTCATGACAACTATATTTCTTTAGTTTTTAGTATCTTTCTTTTACAAACCAGATAGCCACCATCTTAAATTCCTTACCTGTGCTGCCCAGATATTATCAAGATCTTGTAAGGTTAGAGCTTTTTCTTTGATGACAAAACGAAGAATCTTCTCTAGCTTTTCTACATACTGTGGTTGATGAAGACTATCTCGCAAGACTATGGATAAGATATTGTTCTGCTGTATCCATTCCTAAAGAGAATTCAAAAGCTTGTTTCAAAGCAGAAACTAAAACACAGAAGCTTTTAAAAATATATATAAAGTATTGTTCACTTTTCAACATTAGTAGAAATTGAAAAACACTCACAAAATATAATACACTAATGTAATATACCTATAGGTTGTTTTAATACAAAATTATGAAAAATCACAATAACTTCATGGAAATATTTCATTAAAAATAATTTTACACATACAGAAATGCTTCCATGAATTTGAAGTAGTGAAATCCTTAAAGATTCTACTCCAGTACTGACTCAGAAAAATATTACTGAAGTGCAGCAATCACCATGGTTTAAACGGAGTGGGTACAGGATCCATTTTAGGATCTTTGGATTCCTTATAGCAGTTTTTTTTTTTTTTTTTTAAAGATTTTATTTATTTATTTATTTTCCCCCCAAAGCCCCAGTAGATAGTTGTATGTCACAGCTGCACATCCATCTAGTTGATGTATGTGGGACGCGGCCTCAGCATGGCCGGAGAAGCGGTGCATCGGTGCGCGCCCGGGATCTGAACCCGGGCCGCCAGTAGCGGAGCGCGCGCACTTAATCGCTAAGCCACAGGGCCGGCCCTATATAGCAGTTTTGATTTGGGTGAAAAGGCATCCTTTTTATTTTTTGCTTTTCTTCATTAACCAATTACACTATTATTGCTTATCCATTAGCTCTTAAATCTTCCAAATAATCCTAATGAGGGATATGTTATCTTGTTACAGAATAGTAAACAGGCTCAGAAGTATTGGAACTGGAATCTGAATCAAGGATCTATGCTTCTCAAGTCTGTATTTTTGTTAACACTATGCAATGTTGCTTGACTGACATTTAATTAATAACTATCCCAATAGAAGAAAACTCTAACTCATGATATAAAAAGGTAATAGTCCACACTGTATGATTTTATAGTATTCAGATTAATGAGAATAAAAAGTATTTAGCCCCAAAATGTGCTAGAGAGGTATACTTCTCAATTGTAAAAGGTCTCGTTATTTCTAATCTGTTGCAGATATTTTTGTAAAATACAGTAAAAATGTGGCAACAAAAAATTGCTACACAAGTTTCTAAACTCTTAATGCCATTTTCTGTACTCATCTAGGACTGGCGACAGTTCAAGGACCAAAACCAGACCTTGGAACACACTGAGTAGCTCTGTGCTTGACTGCCCACAAGGTGGGCAGACAAATCATATACACAAAACCAGATGTCTACTACCTGACCCCCTAATACAGAGCCAACATCTAGGCATCCTCCACATATTTTTTACCACATTCTAATCCTTGTCTCCCCTATGAAACTGAGGCCTCCTTGAGGGCAAGGACAGTTCTTTTAACAGATGTCTCCCCAGTACTGTCCGACAGTATGCACTGAAGTTATTCAACCAATATTTGTTAAGTGGCATACTTATTCATTTTTAAACTACAACATAGACAAATATCTATGGTAAATAAAATTTCCTAAATTTTCAACATCAAAAAAGTGCTTAAGTAAAGTTCTTAAAATGATGATAAAACCAATTCATGTAGGGCCAGCTCCGTGGCTTAGCGGTTAAGTGCGTGCGCTCTGATGCTGGCGGCCCGGGTTCGGATCCCGGGCACGCCCCAAGGCACCACTTCTCCGTCCAACGCGAGGCCGAGTCCCACGTACAGCAACTAGAAGGATGTGAACCTATGACATACAACTGTCTACTGGGGCTTTGGGGGGAAAAAAATGAATAAATAAAATCTTTAAAAAAAAAAAAGCCAATTCATGTAGATCTTATTCAAGTAATTATATTTCCTATTTTAAAATCTTTTAAGTGGAATTGGTCAAAGGAACAATAGGCCACTTCATTTATTAGGTACTAGATATTACCCAATCTATTTCCAAGATCACCTTTATCTACTCCATTTCAACTAACCCCCCCAGCAAGCTAATAATTCCTCAGAACACCTACATTCAGCAATAAGTTTATCAAAGATGTGTTAAGCTACCCACATCACCACCAAATAATAAACTATGTTACTACAAAAAGTTCTTAGGATTAACAGAGCTCTAAATCAATCCAAACACCTCCCAATTTCAAGGTTTTCTTTCAAGTGTTAATATTACTAACTTTACATAGAGCTATCCTAATTTTTGCCTCAGGTAGATTCTTATTCATGAAAGAAGAATCAAAGGACTTACTGCCATTCGTTCAGCTGTGAGCCATTCTTCCTCCTCAGGGTTACCATGCCGATGAGTGTAGTATGATACACTAGATATCACCTTATTAACTTCATTCAGTGCATTCATCTTTCCATTGAAAGAAGAAATTTGCAATAATCTAAAAGAGAAATTCAGTGTCAAGTATGATTCTAAACATTCACATAAATAATTATTTCAAGAGGTAAATATCTTACCTAAGTATCATTTTTAACCTAAATATTTCTAAATTTTTTACAGTTTCTTCTTGTCCTGGAACCCGTGAAGCTAAATTCTTCAAAGATTTAATAATCATTGAAAGGGCATCATTTTTGGCTTCATTCTTCGCTTCTTTTTTCAGTTCTTCATCAGTTAAGTTTTCTAAAAACTGTGGAACCATTTCTATTACTGGAAGAAAGTACTTTTTCACTGTATGAAGAGTGAGAAACTCATAGCACTGTCCAAATGGTCTGAAATAAGACAAAAAATTCTTGTAAAACTCAATTTCTTACAATCAACTAGGACTGGACTCAGACTATTAGTACTACTTTAAAAAATCCAAGTTACCAATTAAAGATAAAAGGAAACCATACTGGAAAAAAGAAACAATTTTTATCAAGCAATAAAGTAGCAATGTCTATAATGTGCTTAAGATTCATTTTAAAGCATAACTTACTTAATAAGAGCTGCAATTATTTGAACATTTAATGCTGATCCATTAATAAAACGATCATGCAAAATCTGGAACCCATTTAAAGTGCCGAATTTGTTGAGAAGATCCACTAGCCAACCCTGCAATACAGTTAACGAAAAAAAAGTTAAGTTCCTTCTTTTAGGGAAAAAAAAAGTACTATCTGAAGTCATTTCTTGATTGGAACATAGCAGGAACAGGAAATTCAAAACAAGAAAATTATTATGTAAAACCATCTTTGAAAAAAACACAAAACATTGCATATTCTTCACAGTAATCCTGTCTGTGAGAGAGAAGCATTAGGGGCAGTACAGGTTAGATCGCCGGGGCACAGCTGGCTGTTTATACCAATATAGCTGGTGAACAGGAATTAGAAGCCGTGCTTCTATTTCAGCAATCCCATCATATCGGAGAATACCTTCTTATCATCTAAAAGTATGTTTTAAAAAATTTAAGGCGGAAAAAGATAGTTGTAAAAAAAGTAAGAAAAAGATATTTAGTAACGTAAGATAACATTTGAATTCATTTTTTGTGGTAGTTGTAAATAACTAAAAATTGCCTACAAATAATCTTTTTTTTTTTTTTTTAAAGATTTTATTTATTTTATTTTTTCCCCCCAAAGCCACAGTGGATAGTTGTATGTCATAGCTGCACATCCTTCTAGTTGCTGTATGTGGGACTCGGCCTCAGGATGAACGGAGAAGTGGTGCCTC